ACCTGCCTCAGCCTCCCAAGGTGCTGGGATTACAGGCATGAGCCACTGCACTCGGCCATGGGTAGGTTTCTTTTAAAATCACATTGTCATGCCAGAATTTTCTCTCCTCCTACTTGACAGCATCTCTTAGAACCCAGAGAGCCTGTCTATTCTCTGTTCTCTCAAACTGCCTGAATCGTAAGGACTTCTTAATTCAGCATGTTTACAATTAGCCTGTAGACCAAAGTAGTTCTGCAATTGCTGAAATTCCCTTTACCTCTGAAATTTCTCTTCCAGTGACCTCGCCGATATGCATATAGATACTCTGATTGCTTTTTCATCTCATCACACAGTACTTCCTTAACTGAGACAGATGGCTCACTGTTGTTGCCGTCACCCCTCCCTCCGGAACCATACCTCTCTGAAGCCATCGGGCTCTCTCCTAACTCAGGGCCCCTCGGAATCGTGAGCTCAACCTCCGACCCCTGAAGGCCGCACTACCCATCCCACCCCTGCCTGGTTTCAGAGGTGGCCCTGCTGCCTGGAAGTGTCCAGCCGCCTCTCAGGGGCATGCACGCCCTCTGCATCCTCAGCAAGTGTTCGCCTCACCTGTCTTCTCAGTTCCCACACCTCCACCCAAAGGAAGAACGCTCAGAACTGTGGGAAGAGCTGCCCCAGGAATGTGGCATGCCAGCAGCACCAATGAGCGTGAGCAGCCTGGCATACACGTCGCGCCTTCGGCCTGAAAGCGCTTCATGAGCATGCTCATCCCCTTCACTGTAGACCTGGGGGAGCGAGGGCAGTGTCAGCCTGGACTAGCGGAGCTACAGAATGAGACGTGGCCCTGCCTTGGAGCCATGCTGCCCGACGCCAGCCCGTGGGCCCCTGCCCAGCTGGAGCAGAAGCGCCCCTGGATAGCCCTGTTCCACCCCAGAGGTGCAGACTCCATGCTCTGGGGCAGCAGCTGGGAATGTGTTCTCTCAGACTCTACTGTGAAGCTCCAGGCAGTGGCTGCCCCCACAGGCACCCTCACGGGGGTTCATAGCCACAAGGCACTAGGGTGGCTCTTGGGGCCTGGGGCTCCTTCAGGCAGGGATGGCACCAGCTTTGCCCTGAGCTCCTGTTCTAGCTTTGCTAGCTTTCAGCCAGTGACTTCGTGCCTCTCAGCTTGCATTTTCCCATCTATAAAACTGGGATCAGTGTATGACCCCCCACGCCGCCAGGGCCGTTGTAAGAAGTACAGAGCCCCATCCCCCGTCCCTGTGCCGGGCCTGTGCAGAGGGCTTCGTCCAGTGACCTGCATTGCCAGCATTCGCGTCTGCGTCACCGTCAGCTCCTTGGCCATCTCGCCATCCTCTGTGGGAAAGGGGCCACGGCAGCTCCAGGAGAACCTCCAGAACCTTCCCATGCACCCAGGTCTGAGGAGGGAGGGGGCTGGTGGACTGAGACACCTCAGCCTCCCCCGACGGGGAGTTCTCTTCTGCAGCACCCAGGACCGAGAGCACCGCGACCCCAGGTGACACTTCCTTCAGGCTTGGTTTGTAACTAATGGGCAGCTGGTTGGAGTCACCACGTTGCTTTAACGGAATAACACCTAGGACTGACTTTTCCGAAAGAAAAGTTTGTATGATTTATCTAGGAAATGCAGTTTGCGGAAACATGACTTTGAGAAATAGCAGCACACGCTTTTACAGGTGTTTCTTCTCCTCAGCCAAGCAGCCGGCAGTCTCTGCGTTATTCTTAGACCAAAAGTGCCGCTGGATAATCCTCTGGGAATCCCTTTTTAAGAGTTTCTCACACATGAATCCAGATCCGCGATATAAAATTAACAGGAACATTTCTTAAATACTCCGCTTCCTCCCAAGATAGAGCAGCCAGCAGCTGATGCTGGCATCCTCAGCCCTGGCTGTGTCAAGATCCAGTGGGAAAATTCACTGTCCAAGTCTCTGAAATGTACGGTATTTTTATCTGCGTTGGATCAGACATCCCGTGTCCTTGTGAGGTGGCGCCCCCGGAACGTGGGTCTCATTCCAGTCCCCGCTCCCCGAGCTGCGCAGAGGCAGGGATGGGTAGGAGACACCCACGGCTCCATCTTCAAAGAGTGTTTATGCAGAGACTGTCTGAGAATTCGACCGTGAGCAAAGGTGTATTTGTCACTGCTGCAGGTTGGCTTGTCTTGTAGCTGGGACCTTGACCCTCTCACAGCTGCTGTCCTCTCTGGAATCAGACCCCATAGAGGGAGTGTTTGCACACCCTTGACTTCCGTAGGCTGCGAGTGAGCCGGGGTCCCGGGGGTGTACATGCTGAGAAGGGCACTGTGTCCTGGAGGCAGGCCAGGGCCCACTGAGGCCGCACTCACCCTCCGGCGCGCATCTCCAAACCCGGCCTCTGCCAGCGCCATGCCTTCTGCGTTCACCCTTCCTAGTGCTGCGCTCTCTCAGATGATGGCGGGGGCCATGCAGAAAGGACCCGCCCTGGTCCTCCTCTGCCCCCGCCCCAGCCACACCCCGCAGCACCTGCTTACTGAGCTCCCCATCCTCACACCGCACCACAGGCAGGCCGGTCAGCAGGTCACCTCCCTGAGGGACGTGCCGCTCACTTCCAGAGCCTCGACCCCCACCCAGCACAGTCAACGCTGATAGATGTTTGTTGAACAATTAGGAAGTGGGCGGCTAGAGGACGCTCCCCCCCCAGCCACGCCCTGTGGTCTCTGCACCAATCCGAGAGCATCTCCTGAGCCAGGAGTGCGCCCATCTCTCACGGGAGTTCCAGCAGTGGGGGAAAGTCAGTTCTGTGACAGCAGCCATGTGAGAGCAGGTCTCATCTTACCCCAGGGGCTGCGTGAATTCATGCCACAGGCTGGATCAGTTCCCTTCCCAGAAGGGTGGGCAGAACAGAGGGTTCGTCAGGAGCCACAGTCTCCCGTGGGTACTTCCGTGCAGGGTGGCAGGGGTGGGTGCTGCACAGACCCTGGGCAGCTGAGCAGGACGCCTGGGGGCTCCTGAGTCACCAGCCCCAGCCCAGCAGTGCTCGTGAGCATCTGAGCGTGTGTGGGTTTTGCTGAAGGCTCCATTTCAACTCCAGAAGTTTCTGTCTTCCCCGTCACCTCCCACTGTTTTTCCAGACATTCTGAGAAGGCGCATGTTAAGTTTAGAGTGGAAAAGTTTCTTTTCTCTTTTTAGACTTTTGAAGGGATCATATGTCTCTCAGGTTTTGTGGGGTGGTTGTGTGTGCCTAGGGCAAGCCGAATAGTTTAATATCAAAACAAGCTCAGAAAGAGCATGTATTACTCTTGTCATTTAAAAAATAGGAACATTGTTTAAAGACTAGTTGTGGTTCCATTTCCTTGCTCTTTCTTTGCGTTTTGAAGGGAGGAGCAATGTGGAAATGCCAGTGACACCTGCGTGAAGTCTTTAGGGTGGTTTTGCTTCCCTTGGTTTTCTGTTGGCTGAATTGCAGGTACAAGGTTCCTAATTTCTAAGTGACTGATTAAAAGCTGTGAGGCAGTGCAGGGCCCCGTGTGGGTGCAAGCCTGCAGGATGGGGTTCTGGCTGGCTGGAGCGCAGCCGGGATGGGCCGGCATTCAGGGAATGGCTTGTGCCCGCAGCATCAGTGGACGCCTGCATGGAGCAGCTGGCCCTGTCCTCCTGACACAGAGGAGGTTGTCCCGGCACCATCAGGCCCCTTCTGAACACACACAACCTCTGGGGTCCAGAACCCAGCAGGACCTGCGGCCCCACACTGCGCATTGCGCTCAGAACAAAGCAGCCCCGGAGCACCCAGGCCATCGTGAGGTCCTGTCGGCAGACGAGCAGTGCACGCTCTGGCTTGCCGACAGCTGGTCTCCAGATCCACAGAAAACCCTATTTCAAAATCAAAGCAAAACCACTTCCTCCGTTTGTGCCAGGCTCAAACTGGCACAAAGCTTTTTCCATGGTAGAATTTCAAGTCCTGCAGGTGTCTGTGGCTGGAGGCTCACAGAGCCCAGGGTCTCAGCTTCATCCGTAGACGGCTGCATTGAAGGGGTTGTTTGGAGCCTCGTGCTGCCCGCTAGGCTCTGCCAGCTGTGCACCACCCTGCTTCCCACCTGCCAGGAGCAGCTGCCCCTCCCCCTGCCAGTGCCAACTCCTGGGAGCAACCGTCCCCTCCCCCGCCAGCGCCCTCTCCCCAGGGCAGATTGTGGCCACATCTGTCCTGGAGATGAAGGTGTCTGGTCAGTGCAGCGTGCCCAGCACTACCCGTACACGCCCAGGAGGAAGGACCACCGCAGCCCCTCAGCAGGAGGGTGTTCAGGGCAGTCTTGAGTTCCAGGCCCCATCACAGCCCAGGCGGCAGAGCCCTTCTGCCATGGGAGAGAACCCGAGCCCCCGCCATCATTCCCTGACTCTCCTGTGCCCTGGGCGGCTTCCGTGGCCTCCTGAGGAACACGGGGGGCCTCGGGCTGCTAGCAGTTTTCCACCCCGTGCTCACCAGCCAGGTCCCTTACCCTCCAGGAACACCACTGCCACCCGGCTCTGGAAAGAGCATGGATGGCAGATTCCTCCCCAGGCCTCAACTCACAGCTTCTGACCCGAGAGCTGAGGTGTTGAGGGAATTGGACTCAAAGCCGGAGCGGTGCAGAGGCCCGGCCTCAGGCGAGGGGGAGGACGCCAAGGCTGCCTGGGAGTCGCCCCCCAGCAGGGAAGGTGAGGAAGGTGGGCCACTGTCCTCAGAGGCTTCAGGCCCTGACCCCCTCAGGAGCCTTGGGCAGAACTTCCTCCCCAGGTGCCCTGGTCCACACAGCCATGCCAGGCTTGCCCACCAGGTGCCAGTCCTGGAAAAGGAAAGAATGTCACTTGAGCTCCAGGGTTGCATTTGGGGGAAATCCAGCTGAGGCCTTCCATTGGTGTTGGCAGCTCCTCAGCCAAAGGCCTCTTCTGCAGCTCGGAAGCAGCTCCATGCAGCCGTCAGCCTCACTTTGTATGACGGCCTCCATGGAGCATGTCCGATCTGACCTTCACGCCCCATGCCTTTGCCTCTAGGCTACCGTGAACACCCGGCCGCAGCGCATCCTGGACACCTCCTCCCTCACGCAGTCGGCCCCCGCCAGCCCCACCAACAAGGGCGTGCACATCCACCAGGCGGGGTAAGTGCCACCCGCACAGCCTGTGGTCTGTAGTGGTGGCTGGGGTCCCACGGGCTAGGCTCTCCCTGAGCCTCCTCCTCCCCGCCCTGGCTTGCTTCATCCCCTCCTCCCTCCCTAACGTGCGTTCTTTCCCACTCCTTCCCCACACACCCCACACCTGCTTGATCAGAGCCCTGGCGTGAGCTCTTCCCCATCTTGAGGAACCCTTCCTTTGCACATGGTCGCAGCAAAAGTTGAACTAAGCCTGCTGTCTGTGGCCTTTCAGAGTCCATAAGAGGGCATCTAGACCTGCAAGTTAGAATGTAAGAGGATCTAGATCTCAGAGTCAGGATCCATTAAGAGGCTCTAGATCTCCGGCTCAGAGTCTGTAAGAGGATCTAGATCTTCAAGTCAGAGTCCGTAAGAGGATCTAGATCTCCGGGTCAGTGTCTGTTAAGAGGATCTAGATCTCTGAGTCAGGATCCATTAAGAGGCTCTAGATCTCTGGCTCAGAGTCCATAAGAGGATCCAGATCTTCGAGTCAAGAGTCCGTAAGAGGGTCTAGATCTCCGGGTCAGTGTCCATTAATCCGAGTCAGTGTCTGTTAAGAGGATCTAGATCTCACAGTCAGGATCCATTAAGAGGATCTAGATCTCCAGGTCAGAGTCCATAAGGGGCTCTAGATCTCTGGGTCAGAGTCCGTAACAGGATCTAGATCTCCGAGTCAGAGTTTGTAAGAGGATCTAGATCTCC